AGTTTTACTAGCAAGAAGAAATCAACAATACAACGGAAGGCATGCAACACGCCTAGCAGCATTGTCGTCACCTAGCAGCACGCCAGCTTGCAAAGGTAGCAGCAAGGAGGCTTGCCAACGCAGCAGCAACAAGGCGGCTTGCCAACACATTTGCCAGGTGCCAGGTTGTAGAGAACATGGCGCCGTTTCCGCAGGTCTACATTTGCACACATGCAGAATATCGCCGACCAGTAATTTTGTCGACCAGAAAGACATCGCTCAGACATCGCCACCGATGGCGTTTACTTTCAGTGGGCTCTCCATCAGCCTTTGATAAACTTCACTCGACGCTTCTCGGCCCTTAATAAACTTACTTGAAAGCCCCATCAACCATGAAACCAAGCCAAATGCATACAATTGCACACGGGACGGCGAGGCCAACTTCGCCCAAGCGAGAGAAGTGCCATTCTCGTCAACAGCATATACGTCATGTCGGCTATGGTGTGCGAATTGCTCGCATGGCTCAGCTAGGAGGATCACTCACATGGCTTCCAGCTTTAATAGTCCTCCAAGAAGAGTGGGCAGTGTGCCGCTGATTTGGTTGGAGCAGAGGTTTCTGGGGAGGGGGTGCAGTTGGGCAGTGGGAATACGATGAAAATGGGAGTAGAGTAAGGGGCGATGAGGGGTGTGGTAAGAACGAATTGACATGGTCAGCAGATAATATGGATGGTGGATGAAATGGGGCCTATGGGACGGCAATCAGACTCAGGACAAAAGAATGGGGAGAGAGATGGGAGAGGGGTGTACTGTTGAAAAAGAATGTTGCAGTGGGAACTGAAGGGGGATAGTGCGTGCGGGGGTGGGAGAAGATGGAAAGAAGATAAAGAGAGTTGGGGGACAAGGTGAGCAGGACGTGAGGGCTCATGGGGCACTGACATCGCTTCGAGGTTGACGAGATTAGAATACTCCACAGGTATGGAGCCGGTCAACTCGTTGCCACTCAGATTGCTGCCGTGAATAAGATGCCGGTTGGGCGGAGGGGAGTGAGAGGGTGGAAAGGCAGGGGAAAAGGAGTTTAAATGGGAAGGAGAAAGTGAGGGGGATTGAAGGGGGGAAAGGAGGGGACGTGCAATCGGAGAGAATGCCACTTACTTTGTAGAAGTGTTATCAGGCAGGATGCATGAAGTACAAAGAACCGCCTGAAAAGGATTGGGTCCCTGGAAACGCATGCTACATACGGAGTGCCCCTACCAGAGTCGTAGAAGCAGAGGAAAAGGAGGGAGGGAGAGGGCGGTGGTACAGTGCAGCACTGACAGAGCCTTGAGGGTAGTTATGCTGCCGATGCTCGTTGGGAGGGGGCCGGACAGGTCGTTGTGGCTCAGATCGCTGGGAATGAAGGCAGAGCGGATCGGGTTGGATGGAGTGGAACGTTAGGTGAAATGAAAGGGATGAAACAGAAAAAATGGTGGACGGGAGCAGTGGGTACACACGCATAGCAACATATGGTGGACGGGTGGGTAATCTGTTGTGACATACCATAACATACCATACCATACCCCCATCATACAGTTGTGACATGACATGATGGATATGAAGTAAGAAGACACTTCTTGTTTGGACTTGGCTGGCATGTCATAACAAAATACATGGCACTACAAGCCGTGGCATGATGTGTCAGTGCAACCTCACGGTTTGCACTTGGTTTGTTGACATTGTGTGTGCGCGTGTGTATACACTGTACATTGTGACTAGGCAAGCAAAACTTGCCTCGTCGCGGTACAAACTTGTGCGAGTAATACCCCCAGCCAAGCAAAACTCGCTTGGGCCTAAAGGTAAACTCCTCACTCGCTTGTTTGGACGAGTTTTTGTAAAAGCTTGGCCCAGTTTCTAAAAAAGCTCGGCTGAGTGAGTGCGAGTATTTGACCCATTGCCCCATACCCGCACAGTGTGCCCTGCATGTATATGTCAAGCATTCAAATAAATCAAGCATATCCAGGTCTAGAGCCCTGGTGAGCAACAAAATGGGGTGGAACAACATGCAGAACAGCAGCAGCAGTATGCAAAGACAACATCCAGACATAGTTTTGCTGCCAAGACCCTCAATAAATAGATGGCCAGGCCGCCTTCAAGCACAACCCCCTCAGCCATCCCTCGCTCAACCTCACACATCATCATAAAGCTTGCAGAGCCAGAAGAACTCGCGCGAGTCTGCAAAAAACTCAACAAAAGGACGCGTACTCAGCGAGTTTTTTTTACTCCACCAAGTTTTTCTCGGCTTGGCTAGGTCGAGTTTTTCGGACAAGAGCAAGACTCGTCACTTACTACGTGACAAGCTCTCCGGACGAGCCGAGGCAAGAAACTAGCCTCGTTGCCCATGTATACGCATGTGTCTGCATGAAATAGTGTGAGAGCATGATATAACGTGTTCCATGATTATATCAATGTTTGAATGATGAATCGTAACGTAAAATGTGTGTGTTGAGTTGTCAGCGTTGCTAGTCACATATGAAGTTGCCGTTTGTGCCTCATGTGTTTTTTTTTTTTTTTTTTTTTTTTTTTTTTTGTCTAACATTCGGCGTGTCACATGTGTGTGTGTGCAGCAAGTATTCAAGGACTCAATGAGAATATTATGGTGAAGATTCAAATACTTGGACTCAACTTTCAAGTGATTTCGAAGCTCATTAATAAGGGTAAACCTAAATATAGTGAAAAATGGTAATATTGCATTATATAGTGTCACATTTCTCCTGGTAGAAGCCCTTGTGATAAGTATTCTCAAGACTTTTCATGGTTGGGGATCATGTGAGAATCATTACCGACTCCAACTTCTTCCTAACTTGTACCCTGAGACAATAGTTGCTCTTATTTAGACATTGGATCAAACTAGTATTGCGTCGTCAATTCATTATTGGATAGAAACCGCTCATTTGGTGTTGTGATCAGTCAATTGTCAGGTTTTGAAACCGCTATGCAGAGAAATGTTTGTGCACTCTAACTTCTGTTTAAATAACGTTGAAGCTTACTGTGATTATAACATGACTTATAGCATAGGGCATGACACGGAATTAGGTATTGCATGGTATGTGAAGGCAAAATCAAGAGGACGTGTGTGTGTGAAAGGGCACATGGAGTAGCACCGAATAGACTCACAGGTTTGTGATGACATTCAAGGCTGTGACCCCTGTAGGCACAGTCCCTGATAGTTGGTTGTAGCTCAAGTCCCTGCCATGCAAGGGATAAAGGAAAGGTCAAAAGGCAAGGGGTGGGACAGAGGGGTTGGAAGACATTACGATGGGAAGATCAAGTGCAGGAAGCAGGAGGGAAAGACTTTACAGCAAAGCATGGGATGCGCACCAGCCTGCAGATGTGCATGAGTGCACACGTACATGTGGGATGGTGGTATACACATGCACGCACACGGGGTTATGCACACGAGCATTTGGAAATAGGCACATGAACATTTCAACTACATCTGAATGTGTAGGAGTTACTACACAAGTGTAGTACAGTGGTGATGGGGGAGGCACATGCGCAAGTGCATGCACTTATGCTTGTGCATTTCTGTGCTTTGCAGAATAGGACACCATGGCACGACATGGCAGAAGTATGCTTCCTCGTACAGCCTTTGCAACGCAGATTTTCTGCGCACACAAAACATACAGCTCCACTTGCTTGGTTGGTTCTTGATAGTTGGTTTCAGAAAACAAGTGTACGTGGGATGCAAGCAAGTGGTGCGTGCGATGCTTACAGTTTCTGCATGTTTCCATTCCACGCAATAAATTCTGGTCTTGGGACATGTTCTCAGCGAGCAGCAAACTTATTCAGGCTTAAAGCAAAAGATAGACAGTAAAAAAACCTCTCCACATATAATCCGCGTGTAGTGAGTCGATTTTTGAGTCGACTCAAAAATCGACTGCTTACAGTTTCTGCATGTTTCCATTCCACGCAATAAATTCTGGTCTTGGGACGGAACCCGTGAAAACATTGTTGGACAGAGACCTGGAGGAAGAAGCACAGAGAGAGGGGGACAAACTGACAGAACAATGGAGAGACAAGGCAGATAGAAGGTGCAATGGAACAAGGGAGAGCAGGTTGACAGATGGCATACAAGAAGAGGAAAAATGCATGGAAACACGTTCGTTTGCTGCAATCAGAATTACTATTCTGCAAGATAACACGAGAAGGCCATTTAGTGCCTTTCACCTTAGGGAAATATGACAGGGATGGTGCTGCTTGAAGTCCGGTAAAGGGGGAGCATGTGAGTGCAGCGAAGGGAGTGCAGTGAGGGGAGAGCATACAGCTCCTCGAGGTGCATGAAGCTGGATGGAACGAGCGTGCCCGAAAGACGGTTGAAGCTCAGGTTTCTGTGAGGGGAGAGAGAGAGAGAGAGAAAGAGAGTGAGTGGAGAGGCTGGTGAGGGGGTGTGTGTGCACGAAAGGTAGGAGGGGGTATTCGTGGAACCTGGGAGAGGCAGTGGAGAGGGACGGAGGAAGATGTACATCGGTCTGAACCCATGAGGGCATGAGGGCATGAGAGGAGCACATGGATAACCACGAACAGGTAAAAATGTCACAGGAATAGTGAAGGATAGTGGGCTAACAGGTTGGTGAGTTTGACCAGAAGGGAGAGGGAGGAAGGCATGGATCCTGACAGTTGGTTGTGACTCAGGTCCCTGTGGCACAGCAGGCATGGCATGGCGTGGTTTGTGTGGTGAGGTGCGGTGTGGAGTGGCATTGCATGGCACGGTATAGTAGCAGGCAGTCACGTTAGTATGAAAGGGAGTAGAAGAGAAAAATCAAATGAGCAAACAGACGAGGAGAAGGTGCTTGTGAATCGACTGCAAGTCAAGATGAAGGGAAGTCACTTGACTGTAAGTACTGCATTCCCACACACACATACTCCAATCAGCCATCTCAGCGACCATGTGGCTCTGCGTGAACACGTTATTAGCTTCAGTCACTCAATCAGTATTAAAGATGAACCTAAGGGGAATCCGAGGAACTAAAAAGGGGTCCACACACTCACAGGTGGGGATTGTTGGTTAGCGCAGCAATAAGCGGCTCTGGGATCGACCCCGAGAGAAGGTTGGATGACAGGCCCCTGAATGGGAGAATGGGGTGTAGTGCAGTCGGAACGATGCGCGTGGAATGGAGATGCAATAATATGTTGTGAGTGAGATAAGTCGAAACGCGGAGTGATTGAGTGACTGGGGTGTGGTGGAGCAAGATGTGACGTTATGGGATAGGATGGAGCCCGACACAAGGCGCCACACATGCTACCTCGTACCACACTGACGGTGTGGAGAGTTGTTGACAGGGCGCGACACACTCCACTCCGTGGTACTGACAGGGTGGAAAGCTGGGAGAGGCGGCTGTAGCCCAAAGGCAGCGATCCTGAGAAAATGTTGCTGCTGAGGTCGCTGGGGATGGGGGAAGACGGGAAAGAGAGGAGAGGGGGGAGAGGAGCGAGAGGCGGGAGATTGGGGAGAAGGGGGAGAGGGGGGAGGGGAGATATGGGGAGAGGGGTGACAGAGGGAAGAGGGGGGGGAGAGGAGGGATGGGGGGGAGAGGGGGGAGGGTGGGGAGAGGGGGGATGGGGGGAGAGAGGGAAGATGGTGGGTAGAGGGGGGATGGGGGGGAGAGGGGGGAGGGTGGGGAGAGGGAAGATGGGGGGAAGAGTGGGGAGAAGAGGGAGAGAAGGGAGAAGGGGGAGAACAGGGAACGAGGAGCAAAGGAGGAGAGCGGCAGATAAGACATGGAAGAGGGAAGGAAGGAGAAGGGAGAGAGCAGAGGAGAGAGGGAGGAAAGAGGAGAGATGGGGAAGAGTCTTTTTGTGAGTCGGTTATGGGTATTGTACGAATGACGTGGAGTGGAATGGATTGATTGGGTAGTAAAGCTCAAAGCTCCTTTGGTGCAACAAGAATGAGTGGGAAATCAGGGATAATAAAAATGGGAATGGCTGAAATCTGCGATGAGTGAGTCGGAATTGTCCAGTGATCACACGTGGATGAGGTACAGATTGAGTCTAATATCCGAACCATGGAAACTACATTTACACCAAACTTGGATAGAGACTAGAATAATATAAAATGTGAGTTTGTGGTCTATCTCTACTGTGGAGTTGTAGCAGAGGGGGACTCCATTGAGAGGGAGACTGATGGGTTGGAAGGAGACTGACAGGTGGGAGAGAGAAGTGGCGAGACTTAGGATTGTCGGTAGTGGCCCAGAGATCTGGTTGGAACTCAGATCCCTGCACGAGAGAACAATATCAGCCAGCAATATTTGCCAATGCACCTGAGACTTTCTCGACTGTTGCAGAGCAACATGACCAACATACTAAATATATACACTAATCTATGCAATATCAACTCTATGAGGCGAGTAATCGCATGCCTCGTATCTTTTTACTCACGGCGGGTGAATAACAAAGCCTTGTCTTGGCCAAACTGATTTTGCCCGAGGGAAGGCGAGTTTCAATGGACGAGTACAAAGATTAGGGTCGAGCAAACCAAGCTCTCGTTTCATCACTTGCATCTCTCAACCATGTGTTTCATTCCATTCTGCACCATTCAACCACTCAAAACCTGGCAGAAGGGGGAGACCACATGGAACACTTCCGACACATGCCAATGCTTTATAAGTGCTCCTCAAAACCTGGTTCTCAGCGCTCGTTGAAACTATTTTGACAAGAAAACAGACTGGCCATTGGCTTGACGAGCCGAAATTCCAAAATCGATGGGCCAAGCCAAGTCACCGAGCCGCCGGCTCAGACTCGTGCATGCACTCGCACTGGCATGCATGCCTACATGCCTTTCATACTCTGCTCGCACTCGCCAGTAGCAGTGGCAGCAGTGATGCCAATGCCAACGGTGGCTGCTGCGGAGGGTGAGGTGCTGTAAGTTAGCTCAGGCACCGGCTTTGAGGTGTCAGGAAGGTGCCCTCCGAAGCATGGAGCTTTATGCGTGCATGTACTTGAGTCAATGTTAGGGTGCTGATAGTCAATTTTAGAGTGCTGACCTTTGAGCTCCTCGTTTCAGAGTGAGGGCCAGTCATCAAGGTAGAGCAGAAAATGTGGGCGTGAGGGTGGTACTGGATTGCTTACAGTGACTGGAGCAGTGGGAGTTCGACTAGAAATTGGGGAATGGAGTCAGAAAGCAAGTTGCCGCTGAGATCACTGCGATGATGGTGACAGATGGGCAGGAGGCAGAGAGGGAGAGGGGGAGAGAGAGACATATGATGACAGGAAGAGGGAGATACATCGAGAAAAGCATCGCACTCAAGTCTTTGAGATCTGAAGCAGAACACACGTGATGGAAGACAGACAACAATGAGGAAAGATGTCTGGAGAGTATATGGCTGGGAGAGCACAAGCCAGGAAAAGACCTGCAGGAGACCAAGGTGGCAAGTGCAAGCAAACAAGTGTGGAGGGGCTTTGGTACAAAGAACGGGGGGAAGGTTGAAGGAAGGTTGCTGGAGCGAGGCTGGCTGATTGAAGATGAGGAAAATGATTTGCGGCCAACTCATATCCTGGCCTTGCAACGCAGGCAATGAGAAGGCTCAACACTGGCTGTGCAACGCAAAGCATTTTCTGACTCCATAAAAATCAACCTGACTGACAGTAAGGCATTACAGCAATGGCAGAAGAAGGCGTTACATCCAGATCAGAGCAGGGCCTTACAGTGTCTTGAGGTTAACAAGTCTGGACAGGAAGGTGGGAGGGGTGTTGGTCAATCCGCTCTTTGACAGGTCACTGCCAGCACACGAAAAAAGAATAGGGTGGTGGGTAGGGGAGATATGGGAAATAAAAGAAGATTTTGAAGGAGGAATGGAAAGTGGATGGATGGTGAGAAGGCCCACTCACAGCATGCATACTGACAGACAGCAGCATGCTGAACAGTTAGGGAAGGCGAGGATTTCTGCCATGCTGCCCAACGACGTGGCATGCAGCCCAGTGGTGTGCGGACTGATGGCGCACGGTCCAGTGGGGTTCAGTGTTAAGGTGAGAGGTATTGTAGCAATAACAGAAGGTGTGCTCACAGAGAGGTGAGGGATGTGATAGCTGACATCGGACCCATGAAGGCTTCGGAAATGCTATTGCCACCCAAGTACCTGTTTAGTGGAGGGGGCGTAGGCAGAGAGGAAAGGTGCAGCGAAGATGCATGAACTGTCGATATATCATGACATAAGTAGCAAATATGAAAGTAACTAGTGTAACGAGCCACAGAGCTGCGTGGATGAGCATGGTGAAAAATCTGCAGCCACTATACAAAGAGCATGGAGAGGGACGGTGAAGAAGGGGAAGGGAAAGGGCCAGCACTAACAGTCCCTGAAGGTTAGCCAAGCTCCCCAAACTTGGTAGTGGCCCTGTTATATCATTGTTACTCAGGTCCCTGCCATGTCATGCCATGCCACGCCATGCCATGCCATTCCATGCCATAGCCACGCCATGCCATGCCATTCCACGCCATGCCAAGGCATGCCACGCCATGCCTCACAAGGCCATAAGATGATATGCATGCCATGTCAGACAATGTGATTCGATGTGAAGCCATGATGATGAGTATGAAGATGGTCATGCCCTTGGCACTCACAGCAGACACTCGAAGCATGGAGAGAAACAGGAGGGGCTGCAATGATACAGCAGATGGGCAGATGAGGGATGCATGGTGATAGGGATGTATTGTGAGAGCGATGTGTTGTGAGAGCGATCCATAGTGAACTGTATTTCAGGGACATAATGCATGAAGCAAGTGTGGGAGAGGTGAGGGAGGCGCTCACAGAAGTGTGAGGAGGTTGAGAGTTGTAATTTCTGTAGGAAGAACGCCTTTGATCCCACACCCGGCCGCACGACTGAAGAAAGAGGCAAGTGAAGGGGGAGTGAGGTGGAAGTACATGAAATTGGACGCGGTAGACAACTTTCAAGGGTGGAAGATGGTGGGGTGTAGAACAAGCGTGCGGCAAAAGATAGCAACTGATTGGGCGGATCATGGACAAAGCCGGATACATTAGAGGAGAAAGTCTGGTCATTGCTGCCGGGCTCCTAAATATACCTTTGAGATGCCTAATGACTACAAGAAGTGCATAGTTGTGGATTCTTGATTATAAATCAAGACAGCAACTTCTCCATCCATGACAGAAGAGAAAGTGCATGCAAGCATTGTACAAGACTTAAAGCCCACTGGTTTTCTGGTGCAAGGATGCTGGTGAAGGTGCTGACTAGGCATGAGCATGAGAGCGAGCACCTGTTCGGCTCGCCTGGAACATGTTTGAGTCGAACCAAACAGGGTGTTTTTTGGTCATGTTTGGTTCGCCGAACATGAGTGTCCGAGTCCGGGCAAGCAGGAACATGGTCTTGTTCGTCCTTTGCTCATGTCTAGTGCTGGTGGTGCTGGCACGGCACGAGTGCTGGAGTGCAATGCAAGCTGAACTAAGATATCATGTCCCGGAGTGCGTTGGTTAACTTACAGCGATTGCAAGAATATATTGCTGTTTTTTATTACTCCTGAAAGGGTTCCTGAGAAAGGGTTGTTAGAAATGTCCCTGGAAGGAGGTCATGATAGAGACAAGGAAACAGAAGGGCGGGAGAACGATGCAGAGATTCGGCTCAAAACATCAGAAAGGGACAGCATAGAGCTGCTCCACAGCGCACTGGGACAACAATGAGCGACTGTTCTAGAGACTCGTAAGCCCCACGCACTTGGCAGCTTCATACATTAACTGAGACCAGCTCACGCTTGTACCATCCCCTGCAACATCTACTTCCCCCCTCCCCCTCTCCCCTCCTTCGCACTTCCCAGCTTAAGCCAATAAAAAATAAACAGCACAGCAAGCAGTGAGAGTGATACTTGAGTGGAGGAAAAGGAAGGGCAGATGCAAAAAAAACATCGGCATGAGTGGATGTGTGAACCGAGTCCGACCCAGCGAACCGGCAAGGTTTGACATTTGCGGTGCTGCCCAATGTTGAAACAGCCTAGTTCACTTCAAGCCCCGGCCCCAATGTCAGGATATACTTTGCGTGGCCTGCCCATTACCCTCGTGACCAATTTCGTGAGGGTCCTTTTAGGTCGCTGTAGCAAAAGCTCGAGCTCATTTTTTAGTTCCAGCCCCCCTTTTTCCAACCAGCATACTCCCTAGCGCTAACGCTAACACCCACCCACCTACCAACCATGTTCTCCACAGTTCATTTCGACTAGCTAGTGCAGCGCACCTGTTTACAGTGCCACTCACTGGTTTTTCTTTTTTAACGGACTAGGCTCTCTCAGGCGACTTAACTGAAGCAATCACTTTTTCTTTAGGTTTAACCGATGCGGGCAGGATGAAAAAAAAACGGCAGCATTTATGAAAAAGGTACCATATCAACATCGTATACAATGGTTTAATACGGTTCCAGGAGGTGTTTTTTGTTTGGTTTGATAATGGC